TATTATTATTATTATTATTATGTGAAGGACTGAGGTAGAAAATGCAGGTGGCGTGCACACTCACTCACTCACTCACACACACAACCATGCCACTAATTAAGATGGAGCACAACCCATTATGATGTTCCTCTTGCAAGCCTCACCAAAGTGAACAGAACCTATGCAGAAGTATTATCACTGCATTCCTGAAGAGCTCCCAGCCTCTTTAATGGGGCTTGTTTAGAGGGGAATTTCCAAATGCCCAGTGCATTTACTCCTCTATTACAGATCACTGTTCTCTGCTCTGCCATATAAGCTGCCTACCTCTTAGACAGAGCCAACCATGAGTATAAACTGATAGTGCAAATTGAGTCCACTTTTAGGGTAGGCTTAGGGTTAGGGAATCATGGAAACTGTAGTTTATTGTGGCACCAGAGCACTCTGACAGAGAAGGCTCAATGTCTCAGGGAAAAAAAAAATTCCCATGATTCCCTAGCACTAACCCTAACCCTTAAAGTGGACTCAATTTGCACTATTTCTGGCAGTCTGCAACCCCCCTCAGTTAGGAGGCCTAGCTACATGGAAGGGCACAGGACAGGCACTAGGCATAGATGGCAGATAGCTCCTTACTTACATACACATCAAGGGTGCAACCCATATAACCCTGAACCCTGTATGTATGCAGTATATGCCAGCAGTCAGTTCACAGCATAAGACAAAACCACACTTGAGGTAGGGGATCTGTGAACTCTCTCCATGGGCCTCATTGCCTCCATATTAAAATACAGCTGTGGGAGGCTGCAAATTTGATTAAAAGCAGCAGTGTGCTGGTAGGCTTGGAAATCTGCTTAACGTTTTCCTTCCCAGCATCCCAGTTGAAAAAGTATGGAATTTCCACATCTTTTCTCTCACAGGGAAAGAGTTAAGTAGGTGTGCATAAGCACACACACCCATACATGCACACACACGCACACACCTCTGTTAATGTTTCCATCACATATGCCTAGCCTTCCAAAGCTATACTTCCAGGATGGAGATCTCTCATCCCAGTTTAACATGTGCCAATCTTGGGGGCACGAGCTGAATGCAGGTACCATTACTCTCTTAACAGGTACTACAAGTAAGAGAAAGCATGGCTTCCTGAGCATCCAAATTTATATATACAGTTGGCCCTCCATATCCATGGATTTTTATCCATGGATTCAACCATCTACAGCTTGTGCATACATACATACATACATAAAATTTCCAATAAGCAAACCTCAATTTTCCATTTTATGTAAGCAAAGTATTTTACAACAGCACTGTATTTAATGGGACTTGAGTATCCCTGGATTTTGGTATCCACGGGGGTCCTGGAACCAAATTCCAGCAGATAACAAGAACCCACTGTATATATTTCCCCCTTTATGCCTTAAGACAAATTATCTACTGACTACTGCTATGCCTCCAAAAGTAGTTTTACTTCTGAATACCTGAGTGTGGGTAGTATTCATTATGGGGGAAGTAAAAATAAGAAGGTCACTCAAGTAAAGAAGTCGAAGGTTCCTCATTCAAATTCCTACTAGGAGGCTAAACTTTTGTGGCCAATGAGAAAGTCACCATTACACTGAGCATGTTTACTTGCAAGTTACAAGAGCTCAATGTGACTTGCTTCCTAGTAAGTGCAATTACAGCTGTCTGAACAAACTGTCTGAATGTGCTGGAAACAGTGAAATGATCAGGACCCCCTGAGATCTGGCAAGGAAACAGTGTAAAATACTAACCCAATGAGACATTTATCTTGTGGAACAGGCATAAGGAGGCAGAGCATGGCCCAAAGCATTTCAGGGCCAAAGCCAGGATGCCCAAATAGGAGCAACACAACACCCACTAACCAATTTCATGGGGCACAATCTCCTAGGAAGATCTCTAGGGTATGCCTCATTAAATGTGATTCATGCAGGTCCTATTTCCTCACACTGGGACTGGAGCAGAACTTTCTAGCGAACTTTGGTACCTGGGGCCAAGTTCATCCTCTCTTTCGTTGCTGTGTGTCTTCAAGCTGTTTCTGACATGGCAACCCTACCTTGGCAAAATTTGTACAAGAGGTTGCCTTTGCCTTCCTCATAGGCTGAGAGAGTGTAACTTGCCCAAAGTCACCCAGCAAATTTGTTGCTGTGTGCCTTCAGGTCATTTCCAACTTACGGCAACTCAAAGGCAAACCAAACCCATCACAGGATTTTCTTGGTAAGTTTCTTCAAAGGGGGTTTGCCATTGCCATGTAGCCATGGCCTAGTGGGGTTTCAAACCCTGGTCTCTGGAGTCCTAGTTCAAAGTGCAAACCAGTACACCACACTGACTCTTACTCTTTCTTAATGGGAAACCCAAATCTTTCCCACACACCTATTTCAAAATTCCTCCAGAAGAGAGAGGGATACCTTTCCAAGTTGAAAAGCATCATGAAGGAGAATGTTTTGCAAAGGTATTGAATAATTAAGAATGAGAAGGGCAGCTATGAAAGAACTAGAAAGGTTTCTAAAGAATATAGATATACAACTAGCTGATCACAAAAGTTAGATTCATCCATATTCATATTCCCCATCACTATGTATGGATGCAAGAGATGGACAGTGAAGGAAGCAAACAGAAGGAAAATCAATTCATTCGAAACGTGCTGCTGGACAAGAGTGCTTTGTATACTGTGAACAGCCAGAAAGACAAAAAAGTGGGTCTTGAAACAGATCGAGCCAGAGATCTCCTTAGAAGCCAAGATGATTAAATTGAGGCTGGCATACTTCGGCCATATAATGAGAAAGAATCGATCACTGGAAAAGACAATAATGGCAGGAAAGGTGGAGCAAAGCAGAAGGAGCCAATCTGGTGTTATGGTTGTGTCAATGGAGACCAGGATTCGATTCCCAGCTCAGCCATGTAAGCCTCTTGGGTGACCATGGACAAGCCACACTCTCTCAGCCTCAGGAGAAGGCAATGGCAAACCTCTTCTGAGCAAATCTTGTCAAGAAAACCCCATGATAGATTTGCCTTAGCATCACCATAAGTCAGAAGCAAAGGCACATAAACAAACAAAAGAAGAAGGAGAGGAAGTCCCCATGCCAGATGGATGGACTCAATCAGGGGGGACATGGGCATGGGCTTGCAGGAACTCAGGTCCAAAACACAATGCAAAAATAATCCAGTTTGAGATCACTTTAAATTCCCAGGCTCAGTGCTAGGAAATCCTGGGAACTGTAGTTTTGTGAGACATTTAACCTTCTTCATCAGAGAGCTCTGGTGTCACAACAAACTACAGTTCCCAAAATTCCCTAGCACTGAGCCAGGACAGTTAAAGTATTTCTGCAGTGTGTTTACCTCTTCCACAGAGAAGTGGATGATAGAGGATCTTGGAGGTGTCTCATACACAGGCTTGCCATGAGTTGAGGATGACTTGAGGGCAGGTAACAACAAAATGGGATGCTGAGTTGAAGCAGCCCCTAAACCTGGATGAGAGCCAGCGTGGCATCATGGTTTGAGTGTTGGACTGTCACTCTGGAGATCTGGGGTTTGATTCCCAGCTTGGCCATGGAAACCCAATGGATGACCTTGGGCAAAAAAGTCTCACTCTCTCAACCTCAGAAGATGGCCATAGCAAACCACCCCATCTCAACCTTGCAAAGAAAATCCCATGATAAGTTCATAAACTGGAATGCACTTGAAGGCAAACAACAAACAGACCAAATAAAAAAAGGAGAGGAAGACAGCATACCAGATGAAGGAACTCAACCAAGGAGGTCATGGACATGAATTTGCAAGATCTTAGTAGAGTAGTGGAGGGCAGGGAATCTTGGAAGTGTCTCATCCACAGGGTGGCCATAAGCTGAGGTCCACTCAAAGGCAGATAACAACAAAATGGGATACAGAATTGAAGCAGACCCTAAACCTGGATGAGAGCCTGCGTGGCATCATGGTTTGAGTGTTGGGCTGCCCCTCTGGAGATCCAGGGTTCGATTCCCAGCTCAGCCATGGAAACCCACTGGGTGACCTTGGGCAAAAAGTCACGCACTCTCAGCTGCAGAGGATGGCTGTGGTAAACCATCCCCTCCGAACAAACTTTGCCAAGAAAAACCCCATAGCCATAGGGTTGCCATAAGTTGGAAATGGCTTGAAGGCGCACAACAACAACAACAAACAACAATGAAACTGGATGCCAGTTTGGCTCTAGAGAGGAGGTTGTCAGACAGGAGGAGAAGATGATGGGGGCTGCCCTTGGGTTGGCACAGCTCTTGCCTTGCAGGAGGAGGAGAAGGAAGGAAGGAAGGAAGGAAGGATCCGGTGCCGTTGCGCTCTGCTGAGGCGTGGGCAGCCATGGGAAGGGAGGGATGTAGAGCCATCACTGCAGTGATAGGGGGAGTCTGATAACAATAACAGTGCGGAGAGGAGGGCAGGGTACCCTCAGCTGGCATGCCAGCCACCGCAGCTGGGTGGGAAGCCAACACACAGACACACACACAGACACACTCCCAGCTCTTTGCAGAGAAGATGGGGCGAAGGAGGAGGGACCAAGCACCTTTCCTGCCTCCTCCTTGCTTCTGCACTTGGCAGCATGCGGTGCCATCCATCTCCTCCAGCACCCGTCCTCCCCCCACCCCTTTCAAGGCCAATGGCACCCAAAGCAGCAAGCTCCGGCCGGGACCCCTCCAGAGAAAGGGCGCTGGACACACAGCAGGGACACACCGGCTGCAGACATCATCATCATCATCATCATCATCATCATCCGGCG